TATATATATATATATATATATATATATATATATACATACATACATATTGGGCCGGGCCGGTGATCACCGTCCCCGTTAAAATCCCCGAATTTCTCCTCGATCCCTGCCCCGTCTCCGAACCCGGCCTGAAAGTTTCGGTTTTCGATTTTCACCATCGGTTTCGGGTTTTTTTTTTGCCATCCCTAGGCGTTTGAACTGATTTTGACATAAAGATGATGCATATAGTATTATAATTATTTATTAATTAAAAAAAAAAATTTCGTTATACTAAGACGTTTTTATTTTAGATATATTTTAATAATTAAAAATAAAATATGGCTCCTCGTGTAGAAAAGAAGATAATTATATTTGACTCGATCTTTTCAAAGTGTTAGAAAAATGTTGTTGTGTTACATGCTAATTTTTCTCTCTTTTAGGTTTTATTTCAAAACTGAAACAGATAATGATTTAATCAAAATATATATAACATGTGATATTACTGAATTTTAAAATTTATTGCCAACCATACCGATCTTTAGACAAATCTTAAGTGCTGTCTCGTACTTTTCAACAAAATATCACATCTTCAAGTAGCTATTGTCAACTTGTGGAGGGGTCACAAAAAAAAAAAGAACAAAAAGAATTTTATGAATATGGTCGGCAAGTAACACATCCATAATAGTGACTAAATCTGTAAATTAGTCTAAATATGGGGACCAAATCTGTAAATTAGTCTAAATATGGGGACCAAATATGTAAATTAGTCTAAATACTTCCCCAACTTGCAAAAATGGTAATGCGGACCCTTTCTGAAAATTGTTTTATTTCTAATTTTTGCCACTTCGCAAGTTGAGGAAGGGTTACTTGCGGAGGTGGTGATTTTGTGAAAAAAGTGGGAAAGAAATGTTGAGAGATAAAATTTCTCGGTCAAAATAGCTACTTTTATTAAATCCCCTAAAGTTAATAAGTTTCACCATTTTTCAAGAACTACATGATGAGAACGGTAGAATCTACACCATTTGCTTGTATTTATATTCTTGAATACTACTATTAGGGTGTTCTGTCTTAACTTCGAAATAAGGTTGTTCCGTCTTAACTTCGAAAGAAGGTTGTTCAAGCTAGTAGTGGGTAATTCAGAGCTATACTGCATAATCTAATTTAGATGTTGTAGCAAGGTTACGCTGCATTTGCCGTTCTGAAATCTCGCCTAACCCCTCTGAATATACAATTATGTTGAATAGAGCATCAGAAGATGATGCTGCTGAAATCTTGAAGGTCATTGCCGAACGCGGTGCTAAATAGAATGAAGCACAACATCCTACCCGTAGATCATTCTAAAACAAGGGTCTATTTATAGATGTGAATGCTTGGTTTTACTTCATTAAGCATTCCTTACACCTACAAGCCATGACACAAGCCTCACCTATGAAATGATGCTCATCCTTTAGGGTGAGTTTGGTATGCAGACAAGACAGGACAAGACAGCTGTTCAGCGTTTGGTAAGACATGACAGGACATGACAGAACTGATTAATATGACCAATTTACCCCCAATAAGCTGTTTAGTGTTTTTCACTAAATAATCAATATAAATGTTAACAAATACTATTTTGAAAATACCAACAAAATTCTAAAATAAATATTAATTAAAAACTCACATTCATAAATCAAAAGATTTAAACATCATGTTTACCAACACAAAAGTTGAAATGTTTACCAACATTCAAATGTT